GAATCAATTGGTATGAAGAAGGCTTGGGGGAAACAGTCCCTAATGCCTAAAATTAATTTATACCTCTCCATCCAGTTGTATCATTACCAGGGATCCCAACATACAACATAGCAAAAGAACTTACAAAAAAGCTTAGCCATCTCACAGAGGGGAGTAAATATTCTATTAACTCCCTACTACAGTGTCTCCAGAAAATCGAAGACACTTCAATACAGTGAGATGGGCAGCATATAAAATTGATTAACAAAATAAATAAAGACCTAAAATAGACGAAGATGAAATTATGGTTTCATTCAATGTCACAGCACACTTTTTATCCATAGACCCAGAACTAGTGAAAGAATCCAGTAGTATTACATAACACACCTGACCTAACCAAATACACTAAGATTTAAATATCTAGAATCATGGACCTCATCAACCTCTGCTTCACTATCAGTTTGATGGACAAATATACCAACAAATCAGACGAACACCCATGGGATCATCACTCTCAGGACTCATAGCAGAGATTGTAATGCAGCGTCTAGAAACTATAGCACTCTCAGGCATACAACCAAAAGTATGGATCCGGTATGTAGACAACACCCTCGTCATAATAAAAGAACAACTAGAGAAGGCACATGAAACATCTTCAAAGCAATAAAATTCATGACGGAAGAAGAAAACAACACACTACTCTTCCTGGATATCCACATCAGCAGAGGAAATAATGGCAAATTAGAAACACAAGTCTGTCGAAAAACAACCCACACTAACCAAGTGCTCCATTACCAAAGTAACAACCCAACTTCCCACAAGAGGAGCTGTGTAAGAACATAATTCAGACAGTCACAAATGCACTGCAGCAATCCAGAACACCAGAAAAAGGAAACGGACTGCTTATACAACATCTTCCAATAAAATGGATACCCACGCAACTTTATCAAAAAGTGCCTGACCACTCAACCCGTTATAGCACAACCAACACAAGCTATGAAAAGGATAACACTGCCATACATCAGAAACATCTCAGAAACAACCAACAAACTATTACAATCACATAGCATCACCATAGCACACAAACCAACTAAAGCCCTCCAAAACATCTTAAATAAATTAAAAGACCCAGTAGCCCAAGGGAAAAAAAATCAGGAGTCATCTACAACATACAGCGTAAGGACTGTAACAGCCACTATATAGGACAGACAGGCAGAAGACTAGCAGAGCGCATCCATGAACACCAACTAGTTGTCAGAAGACATGATGAAAACTCCTTAATCTCACAACGCATGGACAGACTCAACCATAGTTTCAGCTGGGAAACTATTAGCAACTTAGACTAAGCTAAATCCAAAAATGCAAGAGAATTCCTGGAAGCTTGGTATTCAGACAAGTCAGCTATCAGCAAGCACATAGAGATAAACATTTACACATCATTCAAAAGACAATAAAAAGGAAACAAAAAGACCAGAACACCCCTTGCCGGCAATCATCACCCAGATAAGCAGGTATTAACACAAGGATTAACACCAGACAAACAAGTAGTAAACAATACCCTAATCAAGGAACTACCAACTCAGACAAACAAACAAGCAATAAACAACAGCCTAATCAAGGAACGACCAACTCAGACAAACAAGCAGTAAACAACAGCCTAATCAAGGAACTACCAACTCAGACAAACAAACAAGCAATAAACAACAGCCTAATCAAGGAACGACCAACTCAGACAAACAAGCAGTAAACAACAGCCTAATCAAGGAACTACCAAGGAGAAAACAACACCCCTACCAACACAGACAGGGCAAGCTACTATATAGAAACAGAGCAAACCATACTCCCTTCTAGCACTGAAGATCTTACCTAGTCAGGTGACGAAATGTCTGCAAGAAAACAACCAAGTGCAGAGAACACCAAGGACTCCACATTTTTTAATTAAATTTTATTTATCATATTTATATAGCCACCCATCTCGCCTAAAAATGACTCTGGGTGGCATACAGCACTTAAATACATAAAAATAGTCACAATTAAAAAATAAGATTAGGTATAGGTCAGTTGTATTGCCTCAAAAATATAAATGGTGGAAACATTGGATTACTATTGCTTATGTTCCTAAAGCTAGATTTTTAAAAAATGAAACATTGTATATTAAATGAAATATTTATTGTTGGTTTACAGAATATCAATACCAAAAACATAATTTTGCTCCTTTCCCCAAAATATAGTTCAATATTTGAAGTAACCAAATAACAATTAGATGTTAGACCTTTCCAGTAATTAGCATTCTTAGTCTGTTATGTCCCTGTACATTATTGTTTAGTGGTTTCATTTTGGCACCCTTTCTACCTTCATTTTTCAGTAACACAGGTCCCTTGTTTTCAGAAATAGTTAATGAAAAACGTACCCTCGCTTACTAATGTATCTGTATTCATTAATGATGTGCTACTTCATTGCAATTTTACTGTGTCAGGTATAGAACTAGTATGATTTTTAGTCAATGTTCTTAAGATAATTTTAGAGGTGTGAATAAATCTTTATTACTTACACAGGTAATGTATCCTATCCTCATAAGATGTACCAATATATGTAAACTTCTATCCTGCTCTAATTTATTAAATTTGTATCCTTATAAATTTACAACCTTTCTGTGAGGCTATCATGAAAAGGCAAAATAATAATGAAAAATTAAAAATCCATTAAACTACTTCAGTAAAAAAGAAGACAAAATAGTAAAACCAGGGGCTGTACAAATTGAGGATTCAACCATTCCAGCTGCTTCGTTGTACTGTTTGGTGTGGTTTAATTCAGTTTTACCTAGTGAAAAACCCAAACTGCTTTCTAGGTTAGCTGATATAAAAAGTGTAATATTTCACGTATGGTAAAAAAAAGTGGGGACTAATAATATTTGTCTTTTTGGAGCTGGAATAAGGAAGTACTTTCTTAATCCCTGAGTGCTTAATATATATTGACATGAATGATAGCTTCCACTGACAGATGTATCAGCTTACAAACACCATCTCAGATTGATGTTAAACTGAAGACTTTATGGCTGTAACATCTTGTTTAATTTTTGGGACTTTCTTCTTTTTCCATTCTTGAGTTTTTGTAGTGTCTTGCTTGATAAGGACTCTTTTGGAACATTTGTTCATACCATCTTGGTTAGTCCCAATTAATGTATTATCTACCCAATTATGGATTTTGAACTTTATTTTTCAACAAACAACTTAGCATAGATGCCAAAAGCTTGGCAAATTAGAAGTTTACAGTACTGAAGTATTACTAATTCTGCCAGAAAGTGAATGGGAAACATGTTTTCAAATGTATGTTTATTGAAAGAAGTATAGACTACGTGCCTAAAAGTTCATTGCATGACTTCTCTTTGCTTGATCATATTGATAGCCTTCAGAAATAACACTATGGAACAAACAGCTCAAAATACCTTTATGGATGGTTCCATTAGAATAAAAGAGTTGAGACAAAGTCTTTCACTGCTTCTTTCAAATAATTCTTCCATTTATATGAATACAAAATATAGTATGAACTGAACATATATGGAGACAAGTCTGCACCTCAAGTATTTCTACACTCCTAGTGTAAATTTTCTATATTTTAATGACCAGATCAAAAATCACTTTGAGATTCTTCTATATTATCTCTCTGTCAATTTAGATTTATGTTTTTTGCATTTGAGTGTTATTGTGATCTACAAATATTAAAAACAATACGAGGCTTTGGGGAACATTAAGGATTATGTGTTCAAAAAATGAACTATGATAGTTTCTTTATCTGTATACCCATGAACTAACAAAATCATGATTAAATCATGTGATGAAACCAGTGAATATTTAATTTTATAATTAGGACTATAGTTGAGCTGTGTAATTTATCTATGTGATTCCGATCTGTGTCTCTATTGTTCCATATATTCCAGCATCAGTATTCAACTAAAACATTTATATCCTCAAACTATAAGCAAGGGAAAACATGATTAAAAGATCTAGATTTGTCTTATGTTTTGTAAAAAATATTTTAAAAATGTGTGGCATTTCCATAGCAGTGAGGCTTTCTTAGAAAGTTATTCCTGTTTTTTACAAATACTTGGGTACATTATATTGCCATAATGTATTCAAATGTTTGAGGTAGTTAACTTAAAATAGATTTTTTTAAAATAATGAATTGGACATGATAATATTAAATAGCATGCTATTTGGAAAAGTAGTGTATATGCTAGTGGCAAAGAAATATTAGAAATATTACTGCATTTTTTCCTGAATAGATTTTTAAAATACATGTTACTGTACAATGCTATGTTTGCAACATTATTAGCAACAATAAAATATTTCTACTATTTTGCATTTACACAGTGTATTTTAGCTTTATTGTCAGATACAAAATATATGCATTGACCCCTAACTTTTAATAATTTGGGCTTTTTATTCATTGGATTGGAATACATTAAAATTATGAATTATCCCTTCAAAAATAGCATTACATATATGTCAAACTGTATTTCCATTTATTAGTGTTTTGTTAACCATTTTATCTCCATAACCCCAAAATAAGCAGGTATTTTAAATGCATAATAAACACTGATAATGTTATGTAATTTGCATTTAACAACAAAGTTGTATGTATCTATATTACATGATAAGCTTTTACTTCCATCTTGTATTAATTTGTGAGTCTTTATTTCTCTTTGCGTTTATCATTCTCCTTAGGTAAATTGTCCATAAGACCAATGATTCCATCGGCAAATTATCCAGAAAATGCTATCAGTGCACATTGTGACATTTGTGCCACTGGTGTATTTGCTGTTACTGCAGTAGTCTAATTAACCTGGCAGCAATCTCTTCTGGCCAGTGTTGTTTCCTTTGTTTGTTTTTTCATGGCACCATGGCTCTAACCTTTATAGTCTTCAAACACCTCAAAATAGATCTCCTATTTATTATTGATTCTCTTCCTTACCACTTCTTTTTTCTCTCTCTCTCTTTTCACTTTCCTTTTTTGACTGGCAGTATCATCCAGACAAACAGAGCACAGATGTGCCAGCAGGAGAAGCAGAGGCGCGCATGCAGAGGTTCATCGAAATTGATCGAGCATGGAAAATTCTAGGAAATGAAGAGAGAAAAAAAGAGTATGACCTGCAGCGGCGTGGTAGGTTCCTGCCGAGGAGTGCTGTAGTAGCAGTAGCAGCTCTCAATAGCCAGAATTCTGGAAGTAGTTTAGTGATGGTTTTTGAAATATTATTTGTTCAACCAAAAGATTTCATTTGCTTCTATCTTGCTTTCATGTTTAGATGCATTATTTATATTGATTGCTACATCTGCATTAGGCAGTTAAAACATTAAATTACTTTTGACAAAGCATTAGGTGGTAGCTGTTCTAAATATAATGAATGTAGAATTTAGATAATAATGACTTCATTTAGCCATTCTTCATTTGACAGTATTTAAAGAATTTTCACTAAATGTTCTTAATTACTTGAGTCACGCCCTTTGCTACATTCCACTGCTACATTTTAAATTAGTTTGAGTAATTTATGTCAAAGGTATACTGCAGCATATGGTTTTATGGACACTTTGCAATAATTAAACTCTATCCTTTCTATCACATTTTACAAATCAAGCAGTGTCCTAGGATATTTTTCATAAGGCAACTATGATGCCAGCTAGTTTTTAGCAAGCAAGTTAAAAATAAAATTCATTTAACCAGGCAGTTCCAGCATACATTTTTGTCTATCTCTTGAAATATAGCATTGTAAAATAGTGACAGGTTGTTGTGAAAAAGAAAGGGGAAAATGTAGGTCAGATCTGTCACACATGGGCTACCATTACATGACGTGATAGGCTGTCTTTCTGCTCTGGCCTCAGGATAGGAGTCCCTCAGCCTTCCATTAGAACCTTCAATAAATGTATATCCACCCTCCATGTTAATGGGGGGAGTCAATAATAGTGTATTGCCTGTGGGGAAAACACTCAGTTGCACTCTACAGTAACACACTCTGGTCTAGCATTGACGTGTAGCTACCACCACTTTTTAGTGTGTCTGATAAAAGCTCACTGTCTCTGCAGCATGTTATTGAATTCCCTTCCATTGTACGTTGGCACACCATCAAACCTTTTTCTCTCGCTGTTTTAACTTCCCTGCTGTGAAGGTTGCCACAATTTTATTTGAGAAACAAAGGCTTAGTCAGCGTGGCTGGCAGATACATATAATATACTGTGTAGACAAGCTTATTTTTGCTCATTAATTATTTGAAAATGTGTAGTGGACAAAATTATTTTTGTTCTAATTGTGTGGCTTAAAGCTTAAGGAAAAATAGTACATGGAAAAAAAATGGAGACTTTTTTTAAAAAGCTTCCCTTTTGTAACAACTAGTAGAAATTGTTTTATTCAATTCAAACTTCTTACACAGTTACATTTGAAATAAAAATATAAATATAAATAGAATACTAATATAAAAGCCTCATCCTTTCAGGCAATGTGGAAAATGAAGATTTTATTGATTATTTATTTATTCATTGTTTATTTAGTAAAGCTTTCCTGGACTTAAATTTTTAAATGATTAGAACTTATCCACATTATTTGATTTGGTTGAACATGGTCACTGATGTGTTCAAAAACTCTTCTCCTGAGAGGGTTGACCGTTTTTATGGAAAGTTGTTCAGCAGTAGTGTGTGTGCTAACAGTTGCTGCAGTCAGTGGGATGGCAGCAGTACGTGTAGGACACATAGCTTTTGTTTTTAGCTAAACTGGATATGCTAACTGTTGCCTTCATTGGGATGCTTCTGCCAGTAGAAGTGATTAAAGCACCAGAATGCTTTGTCTCTAATGTGCTTAGCATTATTCCCAAGCTGGGATATGTGGCTTACTGCTTTTTCTAACTACCCTGAGAGTGATCACAAGAACAAAGTTTGGCACCAGATATTGGCTTGATAGAAGAATAGCAAGCCAAAGATTCCAGTTAGGATGTAACACTCAACCAACTATAGATAGCAGCTTTTTTATTTAAACCTTGCCACAATCACAAGAAACAATTGGAATATAACTCCTCAGCATGTTAAACCATGAAAAATTAATTGGGTAGCATTTATTAGCACTTTTGTTTATGAATAGACAAATTTCTGAAGATTTCTGGCTCATGTTTGAGTTAGCCAGATCAATGCAATTGATCAATGCAATTGATCTAGAGTTGGATAAGCTACATGTTTATTTGCATTTTTTAAAAATATTGAATATTGAATTTGCAAATATATTTTTTAAAAATCAGACAATGTGATTTTCTGGATTTTTTCCCCCCATTTTGTCTCTCATA